CCATGGTCCCCCACCAAGGCACAGGAAAGGGGCTCATCTCCCCTACTTGTGATCTGGTCTGCGGTGATGGGAGCGATGTCCATGGATATATTGATGTAATCTCTAGAAATATCTGTGTGCATTGCTCAATCAATGATATGGAGTCTTTACACTGATTTCATATACTTTTTATACTTAGACCCCGTACACATTGAGCGATTTATCGCGCGGATATCGCGGCAAATTACCGCGCGACATCGCGCTCCAATGCATTTCCATGGGGCAAAGGGTCCTGCTGTCGCGGGTCGTGTGTCGCTACAGCAGGACCCTTTTTGGAGCGGATTTAGCCGCGATTCAAGCTTGCTCAATGCAAGCTCGAACGCGATATCGCGCGGCAAATCTCGCGATGTCGCGCAATATGCAAATCGCGCGACAAACGCGCAATTTGCATATCGCGCAGTGGAAACGGGGCCTTAGTCTGTTGCTGTACGTCTATCTGCTGAAGAAAAACAATTGGCAAGCGCACTCATCAATTCGTTACCAGCTTTACAGCAAGGCTGGGGGGAAACACGTCGAGAGAAACTAGAAGGAAGCCAACCGACCCCCCCACCCCTTGCCTCTTACTCCACTACCATCATTCCTTGAAATGTGATCTGTATTTGGACATTTAAACCATTTTAATTTATTCAGCATTCCGTTTTGCTGCGTAGGAATATTTCAGTGGTTGCGTTGGCGCCTTCCATCAGGCGTTGTGTCTTTGTTGTTTTTATTATTTATATAGCTTTGTATATTCTTAGGTAATTTTCAACCGTGTTACCAATAAATGTGATGACTTCATGCCAGCACACTATTTTCTATCCGTACACCTTAAGGCCTCATTCACACTGCCGCGCATACACGCGTTTAGTACCATATGCAAATTAATGGCTTCATACACATAGCTGCGTATGGAGCTGTATATTTGTGTAGCGTAAAAATGCGCAAGAACAGAATAGAACCGAGATGCGTCTGGGCAGCGTATTTACGCGCATATACGCGCGTACAGTTCATTGGCATTTCTATTACAAATGATGCATTGTGGGATTGCAAATAGTGCACGCATATATGCACATAAGCTCGTATATATGCGCATGTACGCGTATACAGGTATTGCTCACTTAACGACCGAATTCCGTTCCTCCCACCAGGTCGTTAAACGAATTGGTCGTTAAGTGAGGAACTCTATACAGTACTGTGCTGCATTAGTACAGTACTGTATAGCGTTGCCGATGTACAGTACTGAACAGTGTACTGTACATCAGGCAATGAAAATACTCACGGGGACGCGCTGTGAAGAACAGAGGACGTCACTTCCCCCGGCGACACGTCGCACTGGCGCTGACGAGCGAGGTCAGAGGTCGCTCGGACGGTCGTAAGTGCGAGTGGTCGCAAAACAGGTAAGTCGTTAAGCGAGGAGTATCTGTATACAATTTTGCTCTTGCTTTGTGCGTGAATGAGGCCTAAAAGTCCTAATTTCCTTGGCACTTTGTACGTCTTCTGAGGGTGTGGCGGTGTATCGTAGTCCAGACAGTAGGTCATGTGTATATGATAGTTTTATTTTTCGGGAAGGTGGATAATCACTTTAACTCTGACTGCTACGGCACGCAGGGCATGTCCTCAGAAGTCAAAGGTTTAAGGTGCGAGGGCGTAAGACAGGGGTAGCCGAACTCCGGCCCTCCAGCTGTGGGTGAAACTACAAATCCCACGATGCATCTCTCTCCAGGAGTCATGTCTGTGGCTGTGAGAATCTTGCAATGCCTCATGGGATTTGTAGTTCCACCACAGCTGGAGGGCCAGAGTTTGGCTACCCCTGGCCTAAGTGATGCCAGCTAGCACAGGGCACCTGAACACTTCTCACGACAGCTAAAAGTGTAAATGGCAAGCAGCACGGGACAGTTCACCACAATACAAACTGTAGAGGCTCATGAAAGATTTACTGTGTATTGGTCTCATTACTTAGATTTACGTTACCTGACGGTGACCCTCAGAGCCAAGAGGTCCCCCCTCAGGTCTGTCAGCCGGAGCCTCCCCCATGCTAGTCATACACTGTGACGCTTGCCATTAATCACAGTTCTCACACAGCACTCACACACTCCCCGCCGAGCCGCTGCACAGACTCCACCCCAGTGATGTTTTAGCACCAAGCGTGACATAAATAGTATTCTCTGGATAAATAAACTGTTCTCAGCTCACATTAGTGTCCGTCATCAGCCAGTTTGCTCGGCAACACAACCCAGAACATACAGGGACACCCCGAGAGCTGGGAAATAAAAGCCCTGGCAGTGTGCAGGACGGCATTTCATGGGACGTTTGTGTTACTGAACACACAGAGCACTCCGAGGGCCTTTCGCCGTCTAGTGGTCATGCGATTCATATCCTTTACAGCGCTGGTTCTCAACCTGTGTAACCTCAGGACCCACATTCATCCTCAGTCATTAAGTTGCGACCCAAGTCACACTGCAATGGAACGCACGGCATTGCGGTAGCGCGCATTCCGGTGTGGGCAATTGAACTGTGGGAGGGAGGTGCGTTTGGGGTGCCATTCAAATGAATGAGTGCGTAGGAGGTGCGATTGCGTGGTACAGTGTGTTACTTGCGCAGGACTGTTTGATTAACGCGCTGTACTAATGTGAATGGGGCCCTCAAAAACACTGATACACAACCACAGACACAATCTCATTACAGAGAGGGGGTCCAGTGTGGGCTGCTGTGCTGTGACGGAGCTCCATCCATATGTGCGTTGCTTGTACAGCTCCCTTGTGTGCCCTGTAGAGGTGCCTGGAGTCAGAATGTGACGTCCCTCCGGTCCAGGCTCCTCTACAGGACACGCGAGGGAGCTGTAAGCAATGCATGTATGGATGGAGCTCCCTCGCGGCCATAGCTACAGCCCACTTTAAACTGACACTTGGCGCCCTGCAGCATATGAATGGCTGCTTGGCACGAGAACTGAAAGTGGAAGGCATGCGGCGACCCTCTGAAAACGGGGTCGCAACCCACTAGTTGAGAACCAAGGTTTTAAAGTACATGTATATCCGGGGTATGCAACCTTCGTCCATCCGGCAGTGGTGCAACTACAAATCCCAGTAGGAACTGACAGTCACAGACATGACTCCCAGAGGCAGATGCATGATGGGGTTTCACCACGGCTGTAGGGCCCGGAGTTTGCCTACCCTTGATGTATAACATATCCATATATATTCACACAATATGGAAGCATTCTCCTTTAAAAAAAAGAGCAGCAAATACCTTTTTTTGGCTACTTATGGATTGGTCACGTGCTGTGCTCTTCAGGGCGAAGGAAGCGGGAGGGACTGGGTCTATTAAAGTGTGTTGCATTAGGCCAGCCCAATTATTTGAATAGGCTGCCAATGCACCAGAACAGACTGAAAATCAGACCTGCGCCATTTCTTCCATCGCTTGAATAAGAAAAAAGAAAACTTACCGGGACTCCCCCAAAAAAGGTGGGTGCTCGAAATGACTGCGGATGGCGCTGTCACACGTAGACAAAAGGGAAAACGTCACCAGCACTCCAACAACCATAAGCCCTCATTCACACCTGACCGTTTTGTAGCGCGTTCTACGCTCGACGAGCGCTCTACAAAACGCTCAAAAATATAAATCCCATTGTATTCAATGGTCTCGTTCCCACCTTGGTGTATTTCCGCCCGTCCCTAACTCGCTACAAAACGGCCCACGCCTGAAAAGGTACAGGTACTACTTTGGGCCGTTTTGTAGGGCGTTTCCATTGGGATACAGCCAAGTAGCCTTTGGAAACGCGTGACGGTCGCGCAACTTTTTTTTTACCCGCAAATCCAGGTAAAAAACGCGCCACAGACGCGCATATGCAATACGCCTAGGTGTGAACGAGACCTTATAACATCAATTAGATGCTCATTTATTGACAGATGCTGTCTCTCATTAGCAAGCGCTTTCGGGGCCACGCAGGGTCCCCTTAGTCAGGCTCAGAGATGACGAAGGGGACCCTGTGTGGCCCTAAAAAGCGCTTGCTGTCGCATGGCAGGCGCATCTGTCAATAAATGAGCATCTAATTGCGGTTATTATCGTTGTTGGAGTGCTGGTGACGTCTTCCCTTTTATTTCTTCCATCGCAGCGCACAATGCATGGAGCGTGTTAGCCTGTGTTGTGCGGCAACGAATGTGCCTTCATTTACCGTGTTGGGCCACCACTGAAAATGTATGTCAACACAACGCACTGAAGTCTGGACGGTGGTCACTGTGAATGGTCCCTTAAGGCGCCATGTCACTATTCTACACTACGAGGGACGTACCGGAGATCCTCCATCTCTTTCTTCTTCTTCACCTCTTCCTTCTCCCTCTTCTTCATCTCCTGGATCTGAGCCTTCTTCTCGTTCCTCTCCTCCCGGTCCCGCGTCTCCTTCTCTGCCGCCAGGTCCGGGAAACGTTCGTCTCTCGTCTTTTCCAGGCGGTTTAGAATCTCGTTCGCTTTCTTCTCTACGATCACAGATTTCACCTGAGGAAGGAGACCCGAACAATGAATATGATAAAAGAGCGAGCCGAGAAATGTGCAACCTGAAGGGGGACGTTCTGGGTCAATATTTGTTGCTTTTCTTAGGAAGAGCTCCAGGAATAAAAAAAAAACAAATGTACCCTTGCAGTGGGGCTACACCCGCACTTCAAGGGTTAAAAGGAGAACTATGGGGTTAAGGCTTTTCCCCATAGTTCTCCTTAGGGTAACGGGAGGACACAAACTAGCGTCCTCCCGTCACCCTAGGCTCAGTATACCGCGAGCTACAGCTCTCTATATACTGAGACGCCGCAGCTATAGTGGATCCCGACAATTGTGCCTGGATCCGCCCAGCTGCGTGACTGACAGCTGGCTCTGCCTATCTAGAGGCAGAGCCAGCTGTACCCGCCCCCTCCCCCGTCCGCGCTGGAAGATTGGAGCGGGGAGGGGGGAATCCAGAGAGCTGTGACAGGATCGAGAGGTGAGCGAACGCCGGTATGTGTTCGCTCACCTCCCGATCTACTGAGCCGACCTGTGACAGTCTCATTGTCACAGGTCGGCTAGAACTATGAGGTGAGTGAAAAGCACTCGCCTCATAGTTCTCCTTTAAGTGCTCATTTTGTCTAGGGGCGTCCTATGTGGGTCCACTGACCTGCAATAGACATGAAGACAGCGAGGGACATTTCACAGCTGGAGTTGAAGGGGAGAGGTGAACACTGACCGCCGTGACAACCACTACATACGTGTGCACTATGACTCTAGAAAGTGCGTGTGGGTGTGTAGTTAAATACTCAACTCTGGCCAGACATACAAGACAAATTTAGGGCCCAGTCACACCATATCCAGTGCGTTCCGGTGTGGTTCGAGCTCGGAACGCACTGAATTGCATAGATCAAGCCGAGCAGTGTTCTGGGGCGTCAGTGCCATTCATGTCAATGAATATGCAGTGCAATCTGCTGCATGCGCAATTTTTCCAGATTGCACTGCACTGGGACGGAGGGCATTCCTGTACCTTGCGTTCCGTTGCGGGCGATCACACGGCGGGCGGGGGGTGTCTGCGGGGGGCCATTGACATGAATGGCACCGACACGCCTCCACCCACCCCAGGACGCTGCCCGCCTTGATCTATGCGATCCAGTGTGTTTGCGGGCTCGAATCGCACCGGATATGGTGTGACTGAGCCCTAAAGCAGAACTCCAGCCATGTTACATGCTGATAGCAGGAGAAGCCAGGGTGACAGAGATGACCTATGCTTCTCCTTTCACTACCCAATCACAGGCTGGGGGAGGGAGAAGACCTGTAAGTGTTACTGAAAAACCAGCTCTCCTTCCATGCCAGACAGGGCTGTACTGTGTGGCAGTGCTGTGTATACCCAGGACTGGATGGAAAGCAATACAAAGCTCCATTATATATATATCATGTCTGTATTCAGCCTTCAGCCTTGTGTTGCTCTATCATGATCTGGGTGTCTGTGTGATGAATAGGAATCGGCAGCTTTGGCTATTAGCAGAGGGCTGTGCCGATAATGAGGGATTATATTCCGCCTTGTAAACAGGAAACGCTCGGGCGCGGCCGGCCTCAGTGTATAAATAACATACATCACACTTCATGTTTATGTCTCCAAAACAGCAATGACCTCTTTCTGCCGGTGAAAGCCGATCTGGCCCACGTCCATGTCTGCGGTTTTCTTTAAATTAGCCCACGGCGTGTACACGACGTTGATGTTGTTCATCTTGGAGCCTGGAGACAGAGCAACAGGAGGGTCAGCGATCAGTTCTGGACTCATGGACAGTACACAGTAAATCTAAGGCCCGATTCTTGCCGGAACGCACTGCGGCCGGTGTTCTATCACAGATTGTGACTGCGTTAGAATGTGTGACCGGTCAGTGGTCACACATTCTAACTTAGTCACGCCCATTTCTTTCCGGGGTAAAAATGTGTGACCGGCAAAAGGTGTAGATTTCCAACGCTTTCTCGGCTGTTCCAGGGCAGATCGGCATCGCAGATGGTATGTGCAGGGGAACCGATCTGCCCTGGAACAGCTGCACTCAAAGTCGGATAGAAGTGACATTTCAGGACCGATCAGCAGTTCCAGGGCAGATCGGTTCTCCTGCACATACCATCTGTGATGCCGATCTGGCCGTAACAGCTGGGAAAGCGTTGGAATTCTTCACCTTTTGCCGGTCACACATTTTTACAGTGGGAAAAAAAATGGGCGTGACTACGTTAGAATGTGTGACCACGTGACCGGTCAAACATTCCACCGCCGAAAAAATGGGCGTGATTACATTAGAATGTGTGATCACGTCTAACGCAGTCACAATCAGTGATAGAACACCAGCTCACTATGTTGTGGGGCAGGAGGGGGCGTGGCGGTCCATTGAAGTGAATGGCACCGTAGCCACGCCCTTCGACCGCAAGGCACATCATCAATGCCTGTGGTCCGGTCCAAACAAAATGCTACAAGCACTATTTTGTTTGGACCGGACCACAGGCATTGTTGTGCCTTGCGTTCCCATGAGGCCGACTGCATTGCGGCCGGAGGGCGTGGCTACAGTGCCATTTACTTAAATGGACCGCCACGCCCCCTCCCGCCCCACAACATAGTGAGCCAGCCGCAATGCGATGCAGTGCGTTCCGGCCAGAACGCACTGTGTCTTTTGTGAACGAGGCCTAAAACAAACAAGTCACATACTGCAGTCACCCGTCCTCAGATGTGATGGCTGCATTGGATTTTATTCCCTTCATTTCTATTTCCTAGGCAATCCTACAAATCCTACACACTCCCTGTCCTGTCCCTGGGTGGCTACACTCATTTCTGCACTGTCTCTATGGGGGAAGCCATGGTTGTAGACATGTATGCCTCCATTACATGGGAGATGGGGAGATGAGAAAAAATTGTCTTATGCTTCTAGGTCAGCTCACTGGAATTGACAATGACTTTCTGTACTGGTGGTATACTGGTGCATCCACACTGGGAATAGTCCACAACATTTAACCAATACTCTCTCAGTTGGGGCCCGGGACCCCTCAGGATGCTTCCACTCCACATAGAAATACCTCGAATATTGGGTATAAGAGGAAGGTCATTGGAGCTGTAGGGGCCCTAAAACAGCCAAGACTGGAGACAGCAGGCTGGCCCTCCAAATCCATCAAGAAAGTCCGACACGGCCCCCATGTAGTTCCGAGATGTCAGCGGACTCCCGGCGTGAACGGCAGGGGGGGAGGGACTCCCGGCGTGAACGGCAGGGGGGGAGGGACTCCCGGCGTGAACGGACTGGAGGGAGGGACACCCGGCGTGAACGGCAGGGGACACACACACACCGACTCTGATGTATAGAGCAGAACCCCATTTTTTTGTGTTTGTTTTTGCACAGGGTCCCCCCACCTTAACATCCTTATCTATGAAGATAAGGTTTGGCATGGATTTCGGAGAGGCCATGCACCATTTTTCATATAAAGGGCGCCGTGTCTGAAAAAAGGTTGGGGAACTCTGGAGCAGACACCCCCGTGGGTACATTCATCTCCCCACTGTATCTAAGGAGGGAGCCACGGTGGTTCCCGAAACTGGACCTCACACCTGCTTTGCCTTGGTTCATCATTACACGTGGGATGGGGGGATATTAGTAGTTTACAGAAGGAAGAGAACATTGTTTTATGCTTCTGGGTCAGTTCACAGGATGTGACAAGGACACGGCAGGTATTTTCTGTACTTGTACCCTAATCCAATATGGCCGCCTGATCCAAGGGAAGCTGCAACCTTATGTATTACATTTGTGTTCCTGGATTTAGATATCATTTAAGGAATCTGACGCCACAAAACAAGGCAGTACCTTGGATGCTGTTGCCTTTCACGAGCTGCGCGCAGTCTGTCAGAACATCTTTAGGAACGTCGTCGATCGTCTGCCCCTGAAATAGAACAGCGGATCTTACAGTCGGGGCTCCATAGACGCAGAGTGATGGGGTTAGGTTGGGCTGTACCAGCGCTGGGCATGCTGATAATGTAGTCCTCCCAGTTATAATACGTGGCCAGCCTTACCTTTTGTAGCCGAAGGTAAACGTGAGCAGAGGAGAGCTTGTCCACGTGAAACCTGCGAGGACAAAAATATCAGTGCGGGGCGACACAACGGGCCGAGCAATTCACAGCAAAATGTTACACTTCAATTGGACCGGAACTAAAAAAAAAAACTGGAGATTTGCTGTGTTACCGGTAACATCCAGAAATATAAATTGTGCCCAACAGAACCCAAATCTAACTTGGCTGAAATTCCTCCTGATGGCAGTGCACTTCCTGTGCCTAGGAACCCCCGTCCTGTAGCCCCCATAGCTGTATATCTGCAGTGTGAGATCTAAGGCACCGCTGCCTCCCTTTAGGCTAGGTTCACACCTGCACTACACCGCACGACGCCCGGGACCCACGTCCCGTGTGTCGTGCTGTCCTGCACAATGCAGGCGGCGATTTCCGCGTGGCCCCATTGATTTCAATGGGGGGACATCTGATGAAATGCATCAATTCTCCTGCATAATGCGCAGTGAGCCAATCTGCCCTGACAAAGCGCCGGAATGCTTGACCCAATGGGCGGTCACACATTCCACCGCTGTCAAACTGGGCGGGATTATGTTAAAACGTGTGACCGCGGGGTCACACATTCCAACGTACTCACAAACTTTGATAGCGCACCGGCTCTACAACATGCAAACACATTGAGGCTGCAGTTTGTTGACATCTAATGTTTTAATAACATTCCAAATGCCGAGAGTCACATCTGTGTGCGAATCTTTTCCCCAGATAAACAGAAACTCCTCAGTTGCCTGAATAGAAGAATGCCGAGTGCCGCGGCCTATGGAGAATGGTGCAGTGTGGGAATCCAAACTGCTGCAAAATG